TTTATTAAAGGAGACCAATTATGGGTCCTAGAAATTTTTATGGTATGTCTGTGGGCTATCCAGACCATGTTCATTCAATTTAATGCACAAAATAAACAGCCTACAGTATTTTTACAGTTAAAATATATGTTTATCAAATAAAGTCTAATGTTACAACTAATCAGGGATCCCTTTAAGCTTCATGCAGGTTAAATCTTTAGAAATGAGCACTTATTCCCTTCTTTGTGTCAGCTGGAGTGAAGCCGAGAGAAGCAGCAGAGCAGACCAGGTGCACGCTTTGTTTCACTGAAGGATTAGTGCATTTTTACACCGTCTTTGCTCATTTTTTTATTCCTTCAGAATTGTTCTCTTCATATTTCACAATATGTGAACACTAACACTTCAGCAGTGATGAAAAACTTTACATTCTAGTTGTGCGCAAAGCATCTGCTGGTTTTCTATACCTCTAATTTAGCAATTGACAAAAATGACAAAACTTTTTTTTTCTAAATTTACAGCTGAATAAAGCTTCTAATTGAACAAAATAGTGTTAAAATTTGAACTTCATCTCTTCATACATTTGGGGTGAATCTCTTAAAAATTGATTTATGCATATGCATAATAGCAAACATGAATGGGTTTACACATGTGCAGCTTTAAAATGAAACAAAACGTGACGTCTGTGAGGATGATGGGTATAATGTGGAAACCACAAAAGCTGTGATTGGCTGGTTTTTCATACTGAATAAAACACGAGACAAAAAAAGGTTCCTCATTCAGTCACACACATCTTTAAACCTTATCTGCCTAAATTCTTCTTGGTGTTTTTATTTGATTTGAAAGATTTACAGGTGATATCAGCAGGTAACGTCTGATGACAAGATCTGAGAAACCGAGGCAGAACTGTCTCCGACCTGATGAATCCCAGCTTAATCTGGCTTTTTACATCACATTACAGGAACCATGATGTTTTTTTATCATCTGCTGCTGAGGAAAAAAAACAAAGTTTTTGATGTATTTTATTTGTATTTTTGGCAAAAATATTTTATAAGCTAGAGAACAGATTTGAATATCCTTAGAAAATAGCCATGGATTGTATGTTTACAWCTTGTTCATTTCTTTCCCTTATTTTGTATGGGGTTTTGGCCAAGAGCTGATGTCCTTAAATATACTGCAAACTTGAGCTTTAAAAGGTTAAATGGATGTCTCTGA